AGAGACTCAGAGAGTGAGTCCGACCTCGACGTGATGGAGGCTCGTGGGCCAGGGCAAGCGACGCCGTTTGTGCGCGAGGAGGCGCCGACGGCACCCGGCAACGGGATTCCGGGGGACGGAGGCAGCGTTCCCCCCTCGCCCCCTTCGGGAAGGTGCGACTTCGGCGGAGGCGGTGACAGCCCCACCGACAGCAGCAGCAGCAGCAGCAGCAGCAGCAGCAGCAGCAGCCCGAGCAGCAGCAACAGTGACGCCGGCGGTGCCGGCGGCCCGGGCGGCGAAGAGTCCGGCGACCCAGGTGGGGACGGCGGTAGCGATGGTGATCCCGGCGACTCCGAGAACCTCGAGGAGTTGAAGTATGATCCAGCCGACGACCGCTACCCCCGCGGGCTAGAAGGGAAGAAACTCCTCTGGGGCGCCTCGAACGCTGGCCCGCTGCGCCATGGGCTTGACAGTGGCCGCACGCGGAAGCAGACCCGGGAGATGCAAGGTGCCGGGGAGATGCCGGGGCCCGGAGAAACACCGGACCCGGAAGAGGCATTGCTGGCGACCATCCTGGAAACTGGCGGGACGGGGATTGTTGAGGACTACATCTGCAACTCGCTTGTGAAGGAGCAGTGGGACGAGGAGCAGACACGCCGTATGGAGGAGATGTACAGGCACGAGATGCAGGAGGTGTTGGGCCCGGAACAGGAGGTGTTCGGGGCCGAGGTCGACGCCAGCGGGCCTTCGCAATCACTCCCAGACCCACAGCTAAGGCCGAAGATAGATGACCAGCCCGCGGTGGATAAGCCTGTGAGGGAGGCGATCGGATGCCTGATGTGGACGAAGCTGACGAGGCCAGACATCGCCCTGCCTTTGAACAAGCTCGAGAAGATCGCCCACTCACCCACCGGGAGGATATGGAACGCGCTTGTGCGGATCATGTCCTACCTGAACTTCACGAAGGACTTCGGCATCACCTACGTACGGGGGTCAGGACTAGACCTAAGCGTGTTTGTCGATGCCAGCTACGCTGACAACGAAGTAGACAGGCGTTCTACGACCGGGCTAGCTGTGACCGTAGGTGGTACCGTAGTGTGTGCATCCACCAAGACGCAGCCAGTGACGGCTCAGTCGACCTCGGAAGCAGAGTATATGGCAGTCGGGGAGGGCATGAAGGAGGCGCTGTTTGTGCGTGGCATTCTGTCGTTCATAGCGCCCGAGACGAGAGGGGTGAAGATCAAGGTCCTCGAGGACAACAAGGCGGCTCGCCTTAAGCGAGAACCCGTTCAGCTCAGCAAAGAGTAAGCACATCGACGTGCTGTTCATTTCATTCGCGAGCTATTCACGTCGGGCAAGATCACTGCAGAGTATGTTTCGACTGCAGAGCAGCACGCCGACATGCTGACCAAGGTCCTTGGCAGAGAGAAATTAGAGTACCACAGGAAGGCTCTGATGAACCTACCGATGTAGTGTTCTCGTGTTCTGTTTGGTTTATGTGGTGGTTTTAGCACTTGGCATATATGACCATGGTACGTCACGCAGGAAGCGTTGTGCCGGCGCGTCACCCGCGGCTGGAGCCTAGAAACGCCGAGAGCGTTGCTTCGGGTGTGTAATCAGCGTGACCGGTTCAATCTGTCCTGCCTTGGTCTTGTCTTGGAAGTGCGGCCGTTGGAATCCTCCGTGATTGCGACGATTTTCTATATTTAGGTGTTAGACGAGGGTTTTTGATCCGGTTGGCCGGGTTTTCCCTCGAGCCTGTTGTTGTTTTGAGTCCCTTTGGTAGATCAGGGGTATCCATGCCCCACGTTAGGTTTGCCATTCGCGTGCAAACCGGGGAGAGTGTTCGTGTGTTTGGATACGGACTGGTTAGATCTACCGGCAACAACAGAGGGCACGCAGATGGGGCGTATGTACACCTTGAAATGGTTGCATATGCGGGGACCCCTCGAACTCCAACGAGGGCTTCACTTCTCCCTACTCCCCTTGCGTGTCTAATACAAGAGATAAATCGTCTTCCCCTTCCAAGCAAAGGACATATACGAACACCCAACAGCCATATCGCACTTAGAACTTTAAACTACCCCAACTCCGAAAACCGCCTTTTCGGAGTAAGTCTAGACCCGGGCCCCCCCGGGAGCGTACATACATCTGGTTCCTTTTCCTTTTCCTCCTGCTTGTCCCGTTCATCCTCCTGCTCCTGCTCCTGCTCCTCCTCTTTCTTCCTCCCCCTGCCCCCCTCCCTCTTCCTCGCTGTCCTCTCCCCCTCCCTCGTCTTCACTGCCCCCTCCCTCTTCGCTGGACTCCGAGTCTTCTGTTACTGCTAATGCGGGCCAAGAACGTTTTTGACTAGTAGTCTTGCGCCGTGCACCAGCGACAGACGTCCTGGCCCCCGGACCCTTATTCAGCTTTGCCATCACGTGGGATTTCTCTTTGCTCGCGTACATCGCAGCTGGCTTTAAATCTCGCAGTATCGGGATCCATCCTTCTCTCTCATCATGGGCGATTCCTCGCCGTGCTGCTCCTCCTGTACGTGGTAGGGCATGGAGTACTTCCATACCAGAACCACCCAACGCTCGGGAAGGCAAAACATGCACTGCGGGACTTTGGTGCATCGCGTGGCGATGGAGCTTTCACCCGCTGTCTTCAGGCCTACTCCAACGAACGGCAGAACTTCGCGAGGCCGTCTTCGGCGCGAGAGAACAGATAGATTGAATGAATCTGCGGTGGAGCAAATCCACTTCATCCACTCGACCTTCAGTGTTGCGTCTCCTTGTACACAGTCGCTGCAGCCAATCCTGCTGCTAGAAAGGCGCTTGGGCTGTAGGCCTACCCTCCCCCCTGAGGGTGCGTTGATTATGTTCTCCCTCTTGCCTAGCTGGTACGCAACACATAGCGTGCATCCTACGGGCGGCCCGTACTGGCACGCTGGCGCTTGGCGCACATGGCTAGGGGGCTCGCAGATGCACTGTGGCCCCCCTGTTGAGCACACAGTACCCCTTTTGTATAGCAATTAGCATAGTATGGTTTTGTAAGGGATTTCGTATGGCGTTCTGGGGGGGGGGGGG